TAGTTGTTGTTAATTGTTCCCCAAAAGTCAGTAAGAGCTATTTGCCAATTTTCATTATCCTTCCATAAGGAGGAAATTACTTTATTAGTTAAAGGTACTATAATTTCTGCTGGATCTTTTCCAGTCAGTTGACGAAGTCTTAATTTGCCCTTTAAAATCAAATCAGAAGTCTTTTCAATATATGTCTTTAACTTTTTATTCTGTTTACGTGGCGTGGCAGAAATATCCATTCCAATATAGTGTCTTCCCTTTGTATCAGAATTTAAGAAAGGTATTCTCCGGATGACAAGATAACCAGAATACAGTCTAAATCAATGTTCATTCTATCTACATGTGTATCTAATATTCTGTTTTCTACTCATTGTAACTCTTCTTCTGCCTCAGCATAATATACTTGGACTGTTTAGGTACTTATCACCTTTAAGGGTCATTTTTAGGTCCTTATTACCTTTAAGGGCCATTTTTAAATGCTTTAAGTCATGTCCCTCTACCCCAATAATCTTCTGTAATTGAGGAATTTCCCCTAATAATTTCTGAAGAGAATTAAGAGTTTGATAATGATCCCTTCTAATTTGTACCTTTTGTGGCCTGATTCTTTGTAACTCTATCTTGTAACCTAAATAGTTAATAGAATCTCCTCTTTGTATCTTTTCTGGGGCAATCTGTAACCCCCAACGAGGCAGAACTTCCTTCACCATTTCAAACATACGTTCCAAAGTTTCCTTATTAGAATCTGATAAAAGAATGTGATCCATGTAATGATAAACAAAAGATTGTGAAAATGTCTTACGAATTACTTCCAAAGGTTGCTGTACAAAGTGTTGACACAAAGTAGGACTATTTAGCATTCCTTGTGGCAAAACCCTCCACTGATATCTCCTAATTGGCTGTGAATTATTAAGAGTTGGTACAGTAAATGCAGATTTTTTTCTATCATTTTCCTGTAATGGATCAGTGACTGTGATTGGCCATCCCTTAGGAATCAAGGAAGATAATGGCATTCCAGGTTGCATAAATCCCATTGGTTGAATTACCTTATTTATGGTTCTCAGGTCTGTCAGCATTCCCACTTACCTGACTTCTTTTTGACAACAAATACAGGAGAATTCCAAGGGAAGGTAGATTCCTCTATGTGTCCAGCCTCTAGCTGTTCCTGTACTAACTTTTCTAAAACCTCTAGCTTCTCAGAGGTCATAGGCCATTTTCCTACCCAAACAGGTTCATCTGTAAGCCACTTCAATGGCAGGGCCTGGGACTCTTCTGAAGTCTATCATTTGTATTTAGTTTCTGTATAGCCTGGATGGTTGGTAACCATTTTCCAGAGCATCTTACCAGATCTTTTCTACTATCTGAAGATTGTACATAATTTGTATCCGACACTGGAGGAATACAAATAGGAATATTAATCTGAGTATTCCCTTGCTGTAAAAGATCATGACCCCAGAGATTTATAGCTGTATCTGCCACGTATGGTTTTCAGTCTCCCTTTCTGTCCTTCTGGTCCAATGCAGACCACTGAGTTAACACTCTGTCAAACTCTAGATAGAGTTCCAATTCCTAAAAAAATTGTACATTCGCCTCTCCAAGAGGCCATTTCTGAGGCCAGGACTTTTGGGTTTTAATAGTCATATCCGCCCCAGTGTCTACTAAGCCAGTAATAACTTTATTATTAGTTTTCACTTTCAACTGAGACCTTTTATCATTAATAGAAGTTTGCCAAAATATGTGTTTCTCATTTTGTCCATTCACATTTGATTCTTCATCACTATTCAAACTACCATCTAGAGCAGTATTATTTTTCACAATAGGCAAAGAACTATCTATTCATCCTGTGAGAGATTGTCTTCCACTGCTACTGGGAATGACCGGACCTTTCTTGATGTGGGGGCCTTCTTGAGCCCCCTTCAGCATTTCCCGGCCTTAACGGGTTTCCTTGCATGTCCCTGGTCGATCTGCATTCACTGGTCCAGTGTCTGCCCTTACCACATCTTCTACACAATCCAGAAGGCCTTCTGTATGAGGCATTGTTAGAATTCGCTTGTCTACAATTTCTCTTGATATGTCCCATTTTACCACAGCTGAAACATCTAGGTTCCTGGTGCCTTCGTGGTCTCCTGGGGAAGATGCTTCCGACCCAAGGTTCTGGTTCATAGTAGTAATAACCTGTAGCCTCTTGGTACCTATGTTGACCTCTGTAAGGTGCTTCTCCTTCCCAAGCCCTTGCATCCTCACCTCTAGAACTTTTAATCTCCTGTTCCCTTTTTAAACCTTTCGAGATAGCTTCTCCTACCCAAGCTCCAGTATCTTGCACATTATAGTCAATATTGGCTGCATGGAAAACCCATTCTTCTAGTGGAGCTGATCTGATCTTTAAAGGCAAAATTATTCTTTTGCGTATTGGGTTCGCATTTTCATAAGCTATTTTATATATAATAGTGCTTCCTGCTCTAGCAGTCACCCAGAGTGTAGTTCCCAGCACCTAGGTCAGGTGACTTACCATGTCATCTGTAATGCCAGCTCCAAGGGTATCTGATTCTTGGTCTCTGTGAGCAGGCATCAGCACTCATGGACACGTACCTACACACAATATGTATAATTTTTAAAATACAATAAAATAAATCTTAAGAAACTGTCTGAAATGAGAGATAGCGTTAACTAGGTATCTGCTGATAAATGGTAGCATCACCTTACAGAGTCTCTTTCCTGCTCTCACCTGAAGACATAGTAGGAAGAAAATGGGAGGCCAGTCTTAGGGGAGGATGTGAACATTGGGTTTAATTTAAAGAAGAAAAGAAAAAAGTCAAATTTTGATTGGTATTAAAATTTGGCCAAAAGCCAATGATTTTTGCGGAAAAATTTATAGTTAGTTTTTGATCATTATTCACAGAACATTGTGACATCTTGGGGTACAGACCTGCTCTTAAAGGGTATGATAGAGACTGGCCCAATACCAGAATGGAGTAGAGTACTGACTGAAGGCTGTGCTTAGCGTAAGATCAATTCTGTGTAGATAGCCCTGAAGCCCTTATATGAGGCAGGAGTACCTGTTGTGTACTAGACAGATGCTGGTCATTGGAGCCTAAACAAAGCCAGTCTTTACTGGAGGAAGCAGGTCTGTGTGGTGAGGACAGGAGCATGCATTTCTCCTTGGACATGCTGTCATGGAAGGGCTTTTGACACTTCTGGGGGAATATAGCAGGTGGGCAGTTTGGTACGTGATTCCAAGGCCTAGGAGAGAGACTTAGCAAGGGGTTGGCTATAGCTCTGAGGTGTTTTTGGCTGTTGCCATGATTGTAGTCTCTAAGAGAAAAAAGTTAGGCCTAACCTTGAACAGCACGACAAGGAGGAGCTTGGAAGGGGCTGCTGTGCTGGGGAGGAAGCACCAGCACCAGGTTGCCTCAGCTGTACTTCTTCCTGTCTAGGACTGTGGCCAGAGACTGGGGCCCTGCCCCATGTATATTCATCATTGCACTGTCTTGTTCTCCTGAAGGCCTTTCCTCACATAAGCTTTTTCTCATTGCAAGTATTAGGTGTGAAAAAGAACTTGGAATGGAGATTTTTTGTTTCTCAAATATGATTCTATGTTGCATTAGAGTTCTTCAGTTATCTGTGACATACTTATTCCCAAACGGTTGCTTTCTCAATCATTGCTGACAGCTAGACTGGGGGTGTGGGCTTCCTCTTGCTCCAGTCCATCTCAGCAGTGGACTGTCTTCCTGTGGGAGCCATAGTTGGAATGAATTCATAGTGGGCTCTTGGAGCTGGTGTTTTGTTCTCTTTTGCTTTGGTGTGGACCTTGAATAGCAGTCACTTATTAAATTGCTAGTCCTTTATTTTAAAGACTTATATGTCTGTTCTCTAGCTGCTCTCTGTTCATTGTCTAAAATAGAAACTGAGTGTCACTCCATGCAGAGGCGTGTCCTGCCCTTTGCAGACACTTTGCTGAGCTTAATGCACATCAACAGGTCGTGGGGAGACACATGCTGATATACAAAGCTCCCATCCTTCAGATTTCAACTCAGGCTGCCAGAACAAAGAACTGTAAACGAGTTGGCGGAAACAGACATCAACTTTTCATATTTCTGGAGGCTGAGAAGGTCAAGATAAAGGTGTCAGCCAGTTTGATTATTGGTGAGGACTTCTTTCAGCTTGCAGATGGCTGACCCCAGGTACTCACATTGCCTCTCTTTGATGTTTGGAGGTAGAGAGGGGGAAACTACAACTTGTATCTCTTCCTCCTAGAAGGGTAGCAATCCCTAATCCCACCATGAAGGTCCCATTCTTGTGACATTATCTAGACCTAGCCCCTCTGTAGGCCTCATATTAGCCCTGGTTTGACCATTTCGTGAGTTGATCAGGTTGCATGGTTTCTCCTAAGCTATTTGTATCTGAAATATAGATGGCAGTTGACATGCTTGTCACAGTGAGAAGTGGATGTTGAGCACAAAATACAACATTTATAATAGTTTCAGACCAAGATCTCTAGAGACCTTCACAAAGCTGGTGGTATGGCTCATCATGCTTCCTGGGACCCAAGGTTCCTCCTGTGATGTCTAGCTGGTGACACACATGCTGTTGTCAGTGAGGAGCTGACACCCTGCCTACATTCATTGTGGGGTCAGAGAAAACATACTAAGCATACTGAGGTGTCAGGCTCCTCTGAGGTCTATTCCAGCGTGAACCAGAAGTCCCTGTTACTGTGATGATGTGGTTAGCTTCATGCTTACCACCAGAGTGAGCATTTAGTTGAATACGTTAATACCATCCGTTTCCACTGCATTATTAACTCATTAATGTTACTATCACGTGTAAAAAATTCTAAACATGCAAATTAAAAACTTTTTCAGGAAAAAGTATGCTTGTATGGGAATATATTAATGAAACCCATTATTTTATATGCCATCTAAAATTTTTAATTAAAAAGTTATTTTAGGAGCATCTTGTTTTTAAGTATGATAAAATAACAACATGCTTACACAACCAAATGTATTAATGAATTTCTGCTGAATTTTTATTTCCCCAAAAAATGATGATCTTTCCTTAGCCCCTATCTTTTAACCAGAAGATAACATAAAATAAAACAGTAAAGCAGGTTTTTTTGGTATTTGAAAATGTCTGAATAGCATAATATAGTCAATATGCTGCCAGTGACATTTGGTGTCTAAAATTCTGATGGTTGTCAACTTGGAAAAAAAAAAAAAGTTAGACTCAACCGGGAAATGACCTCTGAGCTTGCTACTGAGGGGTTATCTTGATTACATTAGTTGAGTAGGAAGATACTCACTTTGGGTTGCACTGCTCTTGGTTGTGATCCTGAGCTGCATAAATGGGGGAAAATGAGCTGACCTTGCATATGTGCATTTACTCATCTCTGACCCTGTTTGTGGAAACAGTGTGAGCAGCGCCTAAAGCTCCTGCCACTATGGTTTCCTCAAATAGGCCATTTGATGTTGCCTCTGTAGGGTATTTTGTCACAGCAACAGAAAAGAAACTAAGACATTGTGCTCTCATCTTCAGTTTTAATTGGTTTATCTTTTCAGATGTGCATGTGTTTTGTGTTCCTAAAATAAATTGAGACTGAGATTTACTCCTGCTTGTTCAAGGGCCCTGATCTTTGGTTGCAGGTGTTGTTTGGCACAGCAGATGGACAGGTGATCGTCATGGACTGCCATGGCAGAATGCTGGCCCATGTCCTCTTGCATGAATCCGATGGCATCCTCAGCATGTCCTGGAATTACCCCATCTTCCTGGTGGAGGACAGCAGTGAAAGTGACACAGACTCAGATGACTATTCTCCTCCCCAAGGTAACCAGTGTGTTGTCCCTCACTTTTACTCCATTTTCCAGAGAGAACATCTTGAAAGAGAATGCACCACTTAGAGAAGGTCCACCTGTGCACATTCGCGAACAAGCACACACACACACACACACACACACACACACATGCACGCACGCACGCACGCACTTCTCTTAACTTACTGGAGAGAGCTCTTATGCTGAAATGCAGCAGAACTGGCCTACTCTTTCTCTTCTTGATGTGAGCCTTTCCTGCTACCCCTTTTCTCAAGATCACTGGTTGAGCTGATTGCACTCCAGAGGTTTAGATTTTCCTAGACATAAAATTAGACATATGTCTCCTGCTGTCCCTAGGGTTTTGTGGGACTTAGCTGCTTAATGGGAATAAAGAACACTGCAGATGAAAAATTCTGTACTATTAATATAATTTAATATGTGATATAGCCAAACCCCTAGTGGTTTCAAAGACAGTAGCTTAGCTTCAGTTGTATAAAAGAAAGATTGGTTCTGCTGTTCCAGAGACCAGCATCAAGAGCTGGTTCTCCATGTCCTTGTTTGTGCTCAGTCCCCTTTCTCAATCTCAGAGATCATTGCCCCTCTGCAGGCCTTATTGGTGTTAGATACTCAAAGTGATGATTTCAAACTCAGGCCTCCTGTACCTCTGGTAGTGCATTTTATTTTTCAGATGGGTCAGAGACCAAAGGGAAGAAACAAAAGTTGAAGGAAGCCTTTAATACTCTGCTGGCCTCTGCCTGAGTCAGCATTGGCTGTTCACCAGTATCCCATCCCTGCACTTTCTTTTTGTCCCTTCCTTCCTTCCTTCCTTCCTTCCTTCCTTCCTTCCTTCCTTCCTTTCTTCCTTCCTTTTTTTCCTCCTTTCTTTCTTTTCTTTTTTTAGAACAGTGTATTATGAAATCGTGGGAAGGAACAGCTCCTTGCTGAAAAGGGTGTCATGCAGCTGCAGCCTCCTGTCCTCAGTTGATTTTATTGTGTACCCTGGAGTTGAAGCCATGCATTGAATAGTTTCTCATCTTTCCTGCCTTCGTGAGGCATCCTGTTCTGTGAAGGGCTTGACCAGTGTCATCAATGTCTACCTGGCACTTGTCTCCTCCTCCTGTCACAGAGACACATGCCTCCCAGGAATGTTTCCCATGTGAAAAACAAGTTATCAGAATGGTTTCAGGATCACTGGGTGGTAGGAGGGAGAGTGTTCATCACACACAAATTCATTCAGGAGGTAATTATTCCTTTCCTGATGGGACACAGCCTTGATAAAAATGTTGGTCACATTTCTGCAGCCTCAGAGTAGTCAATTTCTATGAAATGCAGTCAGCTTGTCTTTAAATAAATGGGATCGAGATTCACTCCTCCTTATTTTACTGGAGGAAATGGGGTGTGAAGACCAAGGTTACAAAGCAAGTCTGAAGTTGATCTGAGGCAGCAGGCTATTGCTGACATTCTGTAAGCAGAGTTGTGCTTCTCAGAAGCAGTGAGCTGCTTTAGGGATAACACACACTTGCCTTTAGATGTAGTGGTATTTGCGTGCAGAGCTATTTGATGCAGTAGCTTAGAGTGAAGACAGGGGATGCAATCTGGGGTTACCCAGCAGGTGAGTGTCTAGTAGGCCACCCCGGCTGGCTGCAGGAGATGAGTTCAGTGTGACTGTGGCACCCACTGAAACTTCTGAAGGTTCTCACCATCCAGCTGTTAAGAGGGGCTTTTAGTTAAAAAACATTTTTTATTTTATTTTTTATTTATTTTATTTTATTTTTGATCAGGCAATAGTGGTACACAACTTTAATTCCAGCACTTAGGAGCAGAGGCAGGTGTGGATCTCTGGGAATTTGGGGCCAGCCTGGTCTACAGAGTGAGTTCCAGGACAACCAGTGCTATACAGAGAAACTCTGTCTCACCACCACCACCCCCCAAAAAACCCCAGCTTTTAAGAATCCATTTATTTTACATGTATAGTTGTTCTGACTGCATCTGTGTCTGTGCACTTCATGCATGCAGTGCCTGAAGAAGCCAGGAGAGGGCAGTAGATCCTGGGTACTGAAGTTACAAGAATGGCTGTAAACCACCATGTGGGTGCTGGGGATCAAACCCTGGGTGGGCCTCTGGAAGAGCAGTGAGTGCTCTTAACTGCTGAGCCATCTCTGCAGCCTTTTGCTTTCTTAAGTAACGTGTAGGTGAGGTCGTTGGTCGTGTACGCCACACATGGTAAAGTACTTTATGAGTCACATGTGGGCTCTGCCCTCTCTGAACACTTAAGGAACCAATACTGGCTGCCATGGCTGCTTATTGCCTGTAGCATTCAGCGAAGCCTTTTGCTCTCTGTGCATTGGACCACAATTAAGAAAACATCGTCGTCCCCTTTCCCACCATTCTTTATGTTATACACCATTTAAATAATTTGCACTTCATATCTGAAGAAACACATAATGCTTCAACATACACATTAATAAACTCACATAGGCTGTCACCCTCAGTTACCTCCGGGACTGCATATCCTCCATCCTATTCTCATCCCAGTTGCCCATGCTGGTGCCCTGTGTGGCTCCTCAGAGCTTCAGTGCTTGCTTCACTTAGTGGCATCCCAGCCCAGCCCAGCCTGGCATCTGTATTGTTAGACAACTTTTAGGGCACTGTGGTGGTTTGAGTGAGAACGGCCCCATAGACTCACATGTTTGAATACTTGGTCCCCAGTTGATGGAACTATTTGGGAAGGATTAAGAGGTGTGCCATTTGGAGAGGTATGCCTTGGAGAAGTATGTCGCTGGGTATGGTATTTGAGGCTCCAAAAAGCCATTCCATCCCCATTTAGCGCTCTCTGCTTCTTCCTTACACATAAGGATGCAAGCCTTCAGTTACTCTTCCAATACCATGCCTGCCTGCCTGCTGACTTAACAGCAGCCATGAGCCCCAAATTACTTTTGTAAGTTGCCTTATTCATGATGTTTTGTCATGACGACAGAAAAGTCACTAAGTCAGACACTGTGCAACAATGCAGCCTTAAACACCTGGAACAGGTTTTGTGCTCCTTGTCTGCCTTCCACTGTGCCTTGTGTTTCTACAGATGGTCCTGCGGCATATCCCATCCCTGTGCAGAACATCAAGCCTCTGCTCACTGTCAGCTTCACCTCGGGAGACATCAGCTTAATGAACAACTACGATGACTTGTCCCCCACTGTCATCCGTTCAGGGCTGAAAGGTACAAAACACACCTATCTCCCCCCCCCCCAGGTGGGACCTACACACATCTGCCTTCTGGGCTGCTGCCTATTGCATTCTCTCCTGTGTTGAGGTTTTTAGTGGAGTTCATTGCAAGCGGTGCTCTGCTAAGCTCCCTGCTTACCGTAACAAGTCTGTAGCTACTCTTGAGTCGGACTTCCTAATACTCAGTGTTCATCTTCACTTCCTTTTTCTGCTTCCACAGGGTGGCCTGTTGTTGTTTATGTTTACATCTGACTGTCACTTTACTCAGATGTAGCACCTGTCACTTTTGAGGCAGCAGATGGTACACAAGTTTTCCTTTACACAGAAGCACTTAGAATTTTAGCAAGCTTACTAAAGAATTGACCATTATACAGTAGAGTTACCTTAAAAGACCTGTGGCGGTTCCAGACTGTCATACACGTGAAGGGTAATGATAAGTGCTGGTACCTTCCTGTGAGGAAATGTCTTCTCAAGAGAAAAATTAGTGGCCAGAGCTACTGGGGATGTTCTGATCGTGCTATTCAAGAACACTTAGGCATAGTGACCTTGGATTTTTTCGCAAAAAAGTAAAGAAATAAGTCTTGTCTCTTTAGAGATCACTGGGGCAAAGTAGAAAAAATTTTAAATTCTAATCCTGGTCTGGTTCTGGTTCTTGATGTTATAGGAACCTACTATCATCTGAGTGGGGAGACAGACAAGCTAGGACCTTCTGTGCAGCTGGTTACTGTCTTAAGCTGACCATCATCAAGAGTCATTGCTGTGATGGCAGCTGCTCCTTCTCTAGGTTCTTCTGGAACCTCGGATATAATGAGTCATGTCTGTGCACATCACACTTGGCGGCAGTATATTGCACTTAACTGTACTGCCCACACACTTACTATTTTCAAATTATAGAATATTTTAAAGGAAATTGTACTTGTTCTTAGGTGTCTGTTTCATTTTTCTGTTTCAGAACTGCACTTGTAAGGAACTATTTACTCTTCCAGCTCCCCCAGGATAGAAACTCTTCATACCACAGATAGTCCCTTTCGGAGTTAATAACTCTTTCTGTTGCTGGCAAACTTGAATTCTTGTGCTGCTTTGTTAATTATTTTCTGAGTGTTCTTTCTTCCATGGAGTTAAAAATAAGGGCTGGCCCTTATAATTCCTCCATGTACCTCCTAACCTGAGGTTCTATTTTTCTTCAAAAATTATTTTTTAAACCTTTTAACCACATTTGCTTATTTCTTGAGATCCGCCTCTAGTTGTAGAGTCCTGAATTTTGTTCTCTATCAAATATCTGATTACAGTTCAAAACAATGTAATTGTCATTCCATTCCTATTTATTCTTCACAGATTGTTTATTTTCTTTTACCTCCTTGTTATGGAGCTCTTATCTTTCTATTTGTGTGTTATCTACCTGTCTCTCTGTCTGCTCCTTGAATGTCTATCAACACCTCAGCTTACCAAGTGTGCACTATGGTAATAGGAAAACAATAGGTGACCCAAATTAGTCTTTTAAAAATGTACTGTGTTTTTAAGTTCATTATTTTCTATAAGTTTAGCATGATAGTCATTACCTATGAGAAATCTAAATCTAGTCTGAAATGTTTGAGTTATTTTTGGTGTTGTAGCTGGGGATGGTTATGCACTTCTGTGCTGTGCTGTTTCTCCCAAATTTCAGAGTAAGATTCACCTGAGCTACTACCATTCACTAGTTACTGTCTGAAAGTAAGCTTTTTCCTGCCTGGGTGTCAGAATGTTTGTTTCTGATCTGATATCAAAATGGCTTAGATTCAGTCTTACATGTGGTATGAACAGCAGCAGTAGTTCTTGTTTTTAAATTTTATTTTTAATTTGTTATTGAGGTGGTTTGAATGTAATTGGCCCCCATAAGCTTATGGGGAATGGCACTATTAGGAGGTGTGACTCTGTTGGAGTAGGTATGGCCTTGATGGAGGAAGTGTGTCACTGTGGAGGTGGACTTTGAGGTCTCATATATGCTCAAGCCACACCCAGAGTGACAGACCACTTCCTGTTGCCTGTGTAACAAGATGTAGGACTCTAAGCTCCTTCTCCAGCACCGAGTCTGCCTACATGCCACCATGTCACACCATGATGATAATGAACTAAACACCCCAATTAAATTTTTTCCTTTATAAGAGCATCCATGGTTGTGTCTCTTCACAGCAATAGTATCTCTACTACAGTTATCTCACAGTCTGTATTAGTAAATAATAGAAAGAAACAAGCACTATAAGATCAGAGATGCCTAGTTATTGCCTTATGACAATCCTGTGAGACAAATGGGTGGGCAGAGATATTGAGAGAGTTCAGAGTTTGCAATTCAAGACTACTAAAGACGTGTAACCCCGATTCTTTGGAAAATCTCTTGTCCCCTTGGGGTTTCATAAAGGCTGAGGGTCTCTGCTCACCTTGGTCTTTCTGTAGTATCTCAGAGAACTTTTCCAGGGGAGAAGGGTGACTCATGATGTCCTTTATCATCCTCCCTCCCTCCCTCCCTCCCTCTCTCCCTCCCTCCCTCTCTCCCTCCCTCCCTCTCTCCCTCCCTTCCTCCCTCCACTGAGTTATGAGCTCAGGTATTCTGACACAGGCACTAGCAGCACATCTCTAGGTGTTATAATCAACTTCCAGAGACCTTCACATTGCTTACCATATGTATCAGGGAGCAAAAGACAAAAGGTGTCATGGTAGTTATTATTTGAATTGTATGTGTGGGTCACAGTCCATCAAAGAGGGAGGTCAGGGCAGGAACTCATGCAGGCATTCAAAGCAGAAAACTTAGAGGGATTCTATTTGTTGTCTTGCAGACAGACTTATCTTCAACCAGCTTCTAAGAAAGCCCAGGACCACCTGCCCAGGAAATAGTACCTCCCACAATAGGCTGGACCCTCCCATTTAAGTCTTAGTCAAGGTGATCCCCAGACATTCCCATAGGCCAGTCCCTTAGATGAGACTCCTCTAGGCTGTGTCAAGTTGACTGTTAAAGCCAACCAGGACAAGAACAGTACACATCTGCTGGTTTCTGTGTGTAAATGTTAGAAGGCCCAGATGCCCAGACTCTACTGGTATTGTAAATAGTCTTCAGAGATTAAAAAAAAAAATTATTAAGGATCTTGGGAAGAATGTTGGAGATTATTTTTCAAAGTGATTCAAGCACAATACTATATCTATATATCTATATCTATATCTATATCTGTTTCTATATCTATATCTATATATAAAGTCTTCTGGGGGCGTGGAGGATGGGTCAGTGGTTAAGATCACCGACTGCTTTTCCAGAGGACCTGGGTTCAATTCTCAGCACCCATATAACAGCTTACACACAACTGCCTGTAACTCCAAGGTCTGACACCTCACACAAACATACATATAGGCAAAATACCAGTGCACATAAAATAAAAGTAAATAATACATCCTGAATAAGCAATGTTATGTCCTAGTTGCAATCAAATGAGTACTTGCTTTTCTTCTGGTTTCCCTACCCATTTATGACTATTTGAAGTTTCAATTCCAGGAACTCTGTCCCTGTAGAGAAATTAGTGGGAAATTCCAGGTTTTTTTTCTTAGTTGCCAGGGCTTCATGAGGTAACCACGGAGCACAGCTGGGCCCTGCTAAAGCTCAGAGAAGCCAACACTTTGTGTTGTGTCGATTGGTATTACAGGTTCTCTCCTTGTCGGTACAGAAGTGACAGCTGCAGAGAAGACCTCACCCTGCAGATAACAACTCTGAGTCTGACTCCGCACTTGTGTGAAAGACATCCCTGGTTGTAGGCATAGAGACTTAGTCTTCTTCCCACCTTAGTATACAGATCCCATAAGTTCTCAGCCTACGCTTGCCTTGACTCTGAGCAATCTGAAGGCATTGTGCATCAGTGCTGCAGAGGCAACAGCTTGTTTTCTTTCAAATACACTTTGTTTCCAGAAAGAAAAAAAGGAGCGAGAGAAGTGGTGTATGGTTATTCATTTACCCACGAAGCGGGGTGTGTCAGATGAGGAACCTTGGAAACATTACTGTCTTTATTTCTTCCCCATCTTCTGTTGCTGCTTTGCTGTGATTTTCTCTAGTTTCTTTATGTACAGAATGATGTCATCCAAAGGTCATTTCAGTCTCAGATCATAACCTAAGTTTTCTCTAGGCACAGTCTGGCGTCAGCTGTGCAGAGCACACTGAATGTACGTGTCTTTTAGGTTTCCTCTCCTGTTGTAATGAAAATCTTGTTAACCAGGGTATTTTACTTGATTTTTTAATTCCTTTTTTTGTATTTTGAATTTAATTTATATGAAAAATCCACTTTACTGGTGGTTGCATGGTTTCAGGTGCTTTACAGCCTTTTCTGTTCTGTTTGTAACTGTTTACCTTAGCTCTGTTTCCTACTCTGCTAGTGTTGACTCAATGAGAAAGCTCCAGGAGAGTGACTTGCCTCAGGAATGCTCTCTTAGCTTCTTGAGGACATTAAAGGACTTCAGTTACTACAGAGTGTATTGACTTTAGCATCAGAATTATTTCCATCACTTGGGGTTTGATCACATGTGACCTGGTATAGATTGGGCACTGAATTTTAGTCCTGGCTTCTGAACTATATGTGGTGGTCATGGTGGATCCTTCAGTGATTTAGTTCAACCTCTCTACAAAATGGATCTAGACTGCTAAGAGCTATATAGCCCAGGTGGTGGTTTTAAAGCACTGAGAAAGGGAAAGAGCCACAAATCTTATTAGTATTAATAGGTGCTAATTTGTTTGTTTGTTTGTTTGCTTATTTATTTTACCAATAAGAGATGATTGCTCATACTAGAATAAGATACAGTATTTACTAGCCATTTGTAGGTGGGTGTCTCTTCTCCTAATGCTCTCTGCCACTTAGCAGGAATGTCTTTGTTCTTTCTTTTGCTCTCACATTGTCATAAGTATCCAACAAAAGCCAGAGCTCTCCTACAGATGTGTGTTCAATGCCTGAACTTAACAGGCCCAATGGTGCTTTGATTTTTTTTTTTTTTTTTTGGTTTTTCGAGACAGGGTTTCTCTGTGTAGCTTTGGAGTCTATCCTGGCACTCACTCTGGAGACCAGGCTGGCCTCGAACTCACAGCGATCCTCCTGCCTCTGCTTCCCGAGTGCTGGGGTTAAAGGCTTGATTCATTTTTTAACTGGAGAATTTGAGTAAATTTTTAGTCACCTATGGACCTGAAGGATACCACAGTAGCAAAGCTCTGATAGAACATGCCTCAGCCACAGGTCTTTTCTTCTAGAAGTTCATAGTTTTATTATGGGAATGATGCTACTATAGGTAGATATTTTTATATTGTGTGTATATATCTCTATACATTAATAGTGAGATCTTGCTATGTAGCCCAGGCCAGCCTTACACTTAATGACTCTTTTGCCTTAGCCTACTAATTAACTGGGATTACAGGCACATGCTACCATACCTGGCTTTAACATGTCAATTTTATTAGATCTGGTTTTTGCCCTGAATTAGTTATGTTCCAGAAGAACAGCAATCCCCACTAGTGTAGGAAACATCTGTTTTTAGTAGAGTATTATCTTGTAGGAGATGTACCTTTATGAAAAAAGAGGAAGGGCCACTGTTGGCTTTGTCTAGGAGCTCTGTGTTTGAGTCTACTCAGGACAGTCATGTGGCTGTTGAGGAGGGCTGTGCTCATGCTAACCAACCTTTTGTGTGGTTTCAGAGGTGGTGGCCCAGTGGTGTACACAGGGAGACTTACTGGCTGTTGCTGGGATGGAGCAGCAGCCCCAGCTCAGTGAGCTGCCCAACGGTCCTCTTCTGAAGTGTGCCATGGTCAAGTTCTACAATGTAAGAGGAGAGCATATCTTCACGCTGGACACGCTTGTACAGGTGAGGACAGTTGAAAATTCCATTTGCTATGTTCCATCTTTAGCAAATAATCGTAAGTGACTTATTGTAGTTACCTTTGGCAAGCTTTTTTTTTTTTCCTCAATTGATTCATGTCATATAAACCAGGGAAATAGGGAAGAAAACATTTTTACCTTTTAGCCAAAATGTTTGATTCCATTTTGAAATCAGATGAGTAGAGAGAAAATAGAGGGATCTGCTTCTGATCTGGCTAGAAAGGAAACCTGGAGATGACGGATTCTAGGTCTGCACACAAGAGAAACGTGGAGACTTAACATATTCCTCCTGTAAATATGAACAGTAGTCGTAGAACTGACAGAACGCTAAGGCATGTCTCAGAGGCCATACTGCACTAGACTGCAGGCTTACACAAGAGTAGCATAGCAGCTGGGGCCCCTTCATAGCGGGCAGGTAGGAGAGGATGGGAAGTTTTTTAGTATTTCTAAATTCATAAAACTTTTGTGCTCAATTGGGTATTTGTGAATTCAGCTTGAAACATGGCTCCTGATTCTGTCTTAGAGTCTGTGTCCCAGCAGCATTCTGCTCCTGCTTTCTTAGTTCAGAGAACTGAACCCTAACACCTACTGCATAGTGTGCTCTCTTAAATGTGCCCAAGAGTTTATGACCTTCTTTTCACTGAGCCCTTGAAGTGTGGAATGCCTCTAGCATGTATTACTCTACTGTCTCATTTTCTTCAAGCCACGGCCGTATTTTCCACCTTGTTGTGCCTTGCTTGGAGTGTTACCATCCTCCCTCACCGTGCAGAAGTACTTCAGCTCTTTCTCCTGTTCCTCTACTCCTCCTTGATGGGGCATCCTTGCTTGTCTCCACCCAACCTGTGGATTCTTTCTTGCCATAAAAAACTAGGTCATTGGCAAGTGCTGTCTGTGGAGCCTGTCTCTTCTGTCCTGTTATCTTTTCTGTAAACATGCTTTGTTGTTTCTTCAGTAGAATAGCCTTGACCTAAGGGCTAGGGCAAGAATGGGATTTATTACTTACTGAGTGACAGGTAGTTAGTTGGGTTTCTGAGTGAGGTAGTACATGTTCTTCAGGCTGTTTGTTGTATCAGGACACCAGTTCTTAGGAGAGGCGGCCACTCGTAGTAAGACAAGCATTAGCTGGAAATAAATTACCCAGCCCTCTTGATTTCATTCTCCTCTGGCTTTAAGGGGAACAGGAGTGCCTGTGTGACCTTTGAAAGGACTGAGACAATACGCATGAGCACTTCCTGTGACACCGGACTGTAGTGGGGTCTGAAGATGTGCTTCCTTTGTTCAAATGGATGGTGATTGGAACTTTCACTTAGTGGACAGTCTGGATTAGTTGTGTAAATTCTTGATATAAGAAAAGAGGTGCATGCTTAGGATAACTTCATGTCTGACTTATAATCAGCCATCATACAGATAGTTCCATGGAAAGCAGAACTAGGAGGAGAGAGGACAGGAGCCTGCCTTCTGCAGTCCCAGCAATTCTGTCATAGCAGATCCATTCATCTATCAAAAAGGAATGGAAAACCACAGGGAAGAAGTTGTATTTCTGCAGCCAGCTCTAGTGTGTCCGATTGTGTAGGCTGAGGACTGGTTCTCATGACTTAAGTTAGGCATGTTATACTGGGAACAGGGTGTAAAGGTAAAGGGTAAGCCAGTGTCTTTAAAGCGAAGGCTGAGGGCTGGGGATTTTGCTCTGTGTTAGTGTGCATCCACATCAGGATTCCCAGCGCTGCCAACAAATAAGTGAATAAAATGTAAGTCTGCTACTACTGGAGCCACTGTCCTAATATGTAGCTGTGGAGCTTAATGACCACACACACACACACAGTGTTTGTCTGCTGTATCAATGATCAAGCTTTCTGTGAGGTAACAGGGCTCCTCCCTCAGTGATCTATCCTCTGTGGAATCCCCTCATTGTAGAAGCCCAGCTTGAAATGTTCTAGAAGGCCTCAGATTTGAGTTCCTGGATCCATAGCTAATAAACGTATCATCTTCTTTGGCTGGGAAGTTGTGGCCCAGCCTCATGGATAAACATACAAGATAAATTGTCTTTAGCCTTGCATCTTGCTTTGAAATTGAAACCAGGATTAGCTGGCCCTAGGGGCTATTTTAAGGAATTGTCTTCATGTGTTGCTTTTATCTTGATGTTTGTCACTAAAGTGTTGTGAAATTCTGTTCTATCTGTCATTCATATAAAAGATGTGACATCTCCACTTGTGATCTCTGAAACCCCTGGAGACCTCATTAAATTAGCACACTATCTGTCTGGATCACCGTGAACAAATCTCACAGTTTCTCTATCACAGCCCTTCTTCTCTTTCTGCCTTGCTCAGCTTATGTAATACTCTCACTTAGATAATACTCTTGAGTTTGAGATTTATTTCAGTGAGAGAAGTTTCTAACACATGCACATTTAGATTGCAGCTTGAGTTTTCAGAGATCCTCATAACCCCTGGAGTCTTCCCTCGGAACTCTGCTGCCCCAACTTTTCCAAAGGAATGTCTGCTTGCCCTTTCTGGCCCATTGCTTTGAGGAGGGTTGAGAAGAGCAGTGACCTAATTCCTGAGTTGTATCCATAATGGGTCCCAGAAGACTATGGTGCTGCCTTCTCCTGTGATCCTCACAGCATTCCCATTGGATTCATAAAAAGGTTCAGGCTTAGAGCTGGGGATTTGTCCCAGGTTTCATGACTGGGAGCCCTACACCCATTGTTAATATGACCTTGAAGTGCTATCTCTTGGAAAAAATTGATTGAAAAGGTCACATGATTTACCTCTTCATCACCATGTAATTCATTGGAACAGCACTGGATAATTTGAGGATCGAGATGGCCAGTACTGTGTAAGAAGTATAGGTGAGTGTGCCCTGACGTAGTCACTCTTGCTTTTAGAACACAGTTCATACAGAGCTGCTATTCTCTGCTGTGCTTTGAAAAACCAACATTCTCAAAACTGTCAGATGACTTAATTTCCTGAAATAAGTTTAACTGATCCCCCCCCTTTTCCTGGCAGCGCCCCATCATCTCCATCTGTTGGGGCCATCGGGACTCCCGGCTGCTTATGGCCTCAGGACCAGCCTTGTATGTGGTTCGAGTAGAGCACCGAGTGTCCAGCCTCCAGCTGCTGTGCCAGCAAGCCATTGCCAGTACCCTTCGAGAAGATAAGGACATCAGCAAGCTGACCTTGCCCCCTCGACTCTGTTCCTACCTGTCCACTGCCTTCATTCCCACCATCAAGGTAGCCTTCCCACCCTCCCTGTTCTTCCTTCCTAGCCTTTCTGCCACAAGAGACTGGAGAGATGCAGGAGGTAGCAGAGGTGGCACAGAGACTGTACTCTGTCTGTACTCTGCCAGTCTGCCTGCCCTTTCTGGAATCCCAGATGTGCTTTTTCTGCCTGTGTCCCGCCTCTAGCCCCCGATTCCAGATCCCAACAACATGCGAGACTTTGTCAGCTACCCCTCAGCTGGCAATGAGCGGCTGCACTGCACCATGAAGCGCACAGAGGATGACCCAGAGGTTGGGGGGCCCTGCTACACACTCTACCTGGAGTACCTGGGAGGACTCGTGCCCATCCTCAAGGGGAGGCGCATCAGCAAGCTCCGGCCAGAGTTCGTCATCATGGACCCTCGGACAGACAGCAAATCAGGTGGGCCCCTTGCTGCAGGGACTGCAACCCTTCTTCTGTGGTTGTAGAATGTCACTCTTAAAGCCATGCAGTCAGAACTCCTGTTTCTGAGACATGCTTTTGTGCTGGCTAGTGTGGAACATTCTGGAAGTTACTCCATTTCCTGGTTCCCACCTAAATGAGTGTTCTGTAAATGCCCTTGTTGGGAGGTCTTCACAGCATTCGATGGGTATCAGGAAACATCAGCTCCCATTCAAGGAAAGCTGCTCCTATAGGCCTTCTAGTACCGGGTACCTTACTGTAGTACTGGGGTAAGTAAAAAAAACATGAAGTCCCTGCCTTCCCAGAAGGGTGACAGAATTCAGGTTTTCAAGCTTCAGTCCTCCTCAGTGCTGTGCTTTTGCCTCTGTTATCCACTATTTGCAGTTAGGTTCCTGTGGAAATTTCTTACTGCTCCATTAGTTCCAGCATGAATGGACATTGTGTTCTTGTGAAAGCCCCTCTTGGGCAACAGTGCCTAGACATGTTAAAGGTGCACGGAGGCCCCCCAGGAAGGGACGGAAGGGTTTTGTGCCCATTAGCTGTCAGCCAAATGTACATGCTCCTGTGAGTGCCTGTGGCTTATAAATCCTGCCACCTCCCTGTGAACCCTGCCACAGAATGCACAGCACTGACCTTGTTGTCCATCACCTATCCCAGTGTCCTGATCATCCTCAGGATCCTGCGTACCCCGGAGGGAGGGAACTGGTCATCTTTGTGTTCCAACATTTGAGCCAACATTGCTTAGACTGGATTTGTTCTGGCAGTTAATGTCCTCCACTTGCTAGTGCCACTTTACTATTTTACTTGTTGGACTAGCCTTTATCTCCCATGGTGTCCCTGAAGCTACCATAGCATGTGGGACCAAGGTCTCCCTAGTTCTTAAAGCAGTGGCCTTGTTCACCCTCAACCTCCCTTGGCAATGCCAGTATTTACATGTCTGCTCCAACCACGTTGGTTAGGCATTATCACAACGCCCATGGCAGTGTTCTCTGCCAATGTTTCCATATAAAATAAAAAGCGAAAAAAACCAGTTTTCAAATGCTGGATGTTCATCATTTTTCCTGATGTTTGACTTACATGATCAACTAGTACCAAGGGTAGAAGGAAGGAGTGTAAGAATTGCAGGCATACAGTCAGAAAACGGGGAGGGAAAATGGGAGCCACACAGAATGGCTTTGGGAGGATAGCACACTGACAGCAGGGGTACAGGGCCAGGTACCTCGGAGCCTGCGTCCTTCTCGCTGTACATCTTTCTCTCCCAGAGACCTTCCTGGGGTACAGCTCTAGAAACATAGGCTGAGACTGAGTATTACGGTCTCTTGAGTGAAGGGCTTGTTTTTCTCTCTGATGTGTCTGAATTCCCTTGCAGAAGGGGCCGTGGCCTCCCAAGGCCAGACTGACTGACTTACTGACTAACCTGCCTGGCTGCCTGGTTTTCCTTAATGTTCATACTGCCAGCTCACTCCAAATACAAACTGCTCGGTTGCTAACACGTTTAAGAAATAAAGTGTTTTATCTTAATAAGTTTATAATTAAAAATTATAAATGGAATACCAAACACCAAGTCGGTACCCACTTTTTGTGGTACTTGAGCCCCTGGGAACCCTGCTAGAGCACAGGACAATTTAAGCACCTGAAAAGTTCATCAAATTCAAACACCTCATGACAGAAATAGAAGCTGTGTCACAAGGCACAGTATGACTAATTGTCAACTAAATGGTACATATAAAATAGCTCAGAGGATGCAGGTGGTTTGCAACTTTAAAAAGCCAGGACTGTCTCATCACGAGAAGCTGGTTAACCTTGCTAGACTCTACAACATTGTTTCTTGGGATGGCCCTTGAACCACTGGGATAGGTCTATTTAACCATAAGTCCTAAGCTCACTCACATCAGCCGATGAGGTCTGCTATGGGACCTGGGTTCCTTGGCAGATTTTTATGATTTACTGCAAGGAATTTTCACCAAGTGTCTTGGCAATTAGAATTACCATTGTGGGGCTGGAAATTTAGGTTGGTCTATATAATGCTTGTCCAGAACACAAAACCCTGAGTTCAGTGTCCCCATAAACCAGGCATTGTGTGACATGTCTATAATTCTCACATTTCAGAATGAAAAGTAGGAGGATCTGAAGAGCAGAGTCATCGCCATCTGCTTAGCAAATTCAAGACCATCCTGACTCTCTGACAGGGAGAGAAAGTCTGAGTGATGTTTAGTTCACACACTTGGAGATATTCCCTGAGCCTGCCTCTGGTTTGAGTCATGACTAAGCTTCCTTTGGTCTAGTTACTAGTACATTAAACCATAGAAAGCACTGTTTATTGTATATGGACCAAACCTTTCTATGTGATCAAACTCTGACACAGAACTGTGACTTGCTAGATATAAAGTATATTCCTCTGCTTTGGTAAATAGCTTTAAAACAGGGTGACAGTGGACATAGACTGGGTACCAGCCTCTTTTCTAGTTGCAGGCAAAGCTCTTTGTGTTACAGAGAGGCTCCTGTCCACCTATTACTGCCATCTACTCAGAAACTCAGTGCTGATCTTGAATTAACAAACTCATCCTTTGAAATAACAACATCTGTTTTAAATGTTGGGATCACATCATTTTCTCTAAATTATGTTTGAATGTTGCAATTTGATTGAGGCTCTTCAGAACGTGAACCTTTGTCAGCACAACAATTTTGAAGAATGGGGTACTAACTTATTAAGGAAGGTATGAGGCAGGACTGTGGGGATTGGGTGGCTACAAGAAGGGGTACAAGAGTGTGGGGTTGTGGAATCAGCAAGAGACTTGTGGTAGGGTGTCTACTTGTAGTTCTGTGCTTTGTCCACTCTGCACTTTTCTGTTTTGGGCCTCTTGAGATTCCATCTGCTGGCCAACTAGTGAAGTTGCCAGTAATGGCTTCCACATTGAAGTCCTTATAGAGCCACCTGAAACTACCAGTGTAAGTCCTCTCTGCCCAGAGTCTCCCTTTCCTACAGGCCTGAGTGTGCTGAGACTCAATATTCAAACTTTTATTTACAGCTTTTGACATAATGAACTGAGTAGAAATGGCTACTTCTGCTTAGAAAGAGCATAGAAATGTAAAGGAAAGGACGGCTTCTCTTTCTAACCTTTGACCTAATGAGGAAGCCAATGAAGTCAGCCTGTACTATATAACAGTAACAGTTGCTTACACCTGATGATTGGTGTCTTACAGATGAGATCTATGGGAACAGCTTGATTTCTACTGTGATTGACAGCTGCAACTGCTCAGACTCCAGTGACATTGAACTGAGTGATGATTGGGCTGCCAAGAAGTCTCCCAAAATTTCCAGAGCTAGCAAATCGCCCAAACTTCCAAGGTTTGGCTTCCCTTTGTTGTGCCTTCAACATGATGTGACATTGTTTGTTCTAAAAGCAGAGTTCCATTGAAGCTGACTATAATGAGAACTCTGAACTACCTTAGGTCTAGATTAATGTTCAAGTCTAGAACTTTTTCTGCCCAAATTAACTTTGAGAAGACGGACAGGAAGTTCACACTTGAGCAGCAGCAAGACCAGTTCCACTTTTGTTTTCTTATCACTTTTCATTCTGGAAGATTCTATCTGGAATATTCACAGCTTTCCTTTTTTTCCTGCCTGCCTTTCTCTTTCAAGATAGAAAGGAGGTATGCTAAGGCCTCAAGACTTTACTCAGGTCAGCAGAGGGTGGGTTACCTAGAGCAGCCATTGCTTCCCAGCGAGTTTGTTTTCCCTTCCAGTTTGAGAAAAGAAAACCATGGTTTATTGTAGACATGTTGTATTGAAGAGAATGCCAAGTTCTGTGCCTGTAACACTGTCTGAAGGCAGAAGGGCTGGTGTCAACCACCACTTCCTCTTCCTCTTGTTGTCATGGCTGTGTGACTAGACAGACAAGGCTTACCTATGGGTAGTAATGGGCAGACTCTTGCTTGTTTACAGTTCTGTGATAGCATGCAAAATCAGGTGTGATATACATACCACCTTACACATGCCCAGGTGCTCATCTTTTAAACAGCTGGTTCACTGGGTAGTTGATTCACCAGTTTGTCCACACCAGTTCAGGATAAAGGACATGACCATCATCCTGGAAGGTCTTTTGTGCTTTTTGCATTCAGTATGACTTTGTTGCTATAGGTAGCAGTGTTAAATAATCTGCTAAAACCCAAACTGGCATAGAAAGAATTTTATAAATCACAGTGGCCTTAAGATGAGGAACAGTCTTCTTCTTACCATTTCTCAGGGTTGATTCTGCAAACCTGTGGCAGAAGGCATGTGGACTTTCTAAATATACTGTAAGTCAATGGATAGTGAGTGTTCATTCTCTAGATGAATCACTTGGTCTGATTTCCATATTTTAAAATATATGTATTACTTAGTATTTAGTTGGCATTCTTTCCTAAGTCAAAAGCAAGAGCATTCTGTGAAGTTAGGGCCTTGAGCATTGAGAGCCAACATCTACAGCTGAGTATCAGAGAAAGGAGTTGTGGATCCAGATGTGTCCCTCTCTGCATGTCTCACCCATCTGGCCTTGTCTCCACAGGATCAGCATTGAGGCCAGAAAATCACCCAAGCTGCCCCGGGCTGCTCAAGAGATTTCTCGATCTCCCCGGTTGCCCATGCGCAAGCCCTCCATGGGCTCGCCCAGCCTGACTCGGAGAGAGTTTCCTTTTGAAGACATCACTCAGGTAGAAGTGCATTGCTAACAGTGGGGCCTCTGTGCTGTCTATAACCATCAGGCTCCTTGGAAGCACCACTGTCCTTCTCAATGTTCCTGTCTTGTTTATTGCTACTCCTGCATATACATTGTATGGCTCTGTTCCACTTACCTGTCTGTTGCTGGAATCTTCCTCCCGGGGAGCTCTGAAATGTGTCCCTTCTTCACTTCTGCCTCCTGGTCCTGCAGTGACATTTCAGTTCTAGGAAGGGAATGCTGGTCATAGCCCCACAGTAGCCGTACCGCCTTCCTCAGCCTGTGTTATGCCTAAGTCACCATCTCCATCTCGTCCTCATTTTTGCCCCCACTTCCAGCCCTAACTCAGTTCGTACCTTCTCTGTGAAGGCTTCTGCTCTGGCCCAGCCCACACATGTGGTGCCTAACCCCTTCTGGTGTTCTTTAAACATTTCTTTGTGCTTAAACCAGGGACAGTCGTATTATCCATCATTAGTTCATTGTATTTTACCGATACCCACCTTGAGCATAGAGGTGAAACAATAGGATAATTGAGAGGTTTAAAGACATAATGGTTTCAACTCAGCTGACATCTGCAGAATCTATCAATGATAAAAAGGAGAAATGAACAAAATGGGGTTCCAATCACTTTGGGGTGGCAGTTGGCCTTTTCTCCTTTAAAATTTTATTTAACATTGTTTCCGTTATTCACATTATGTTGTTATTGCTTTGTTATTTTATTAATTTACTTATTTGTTTCTTTTTGATATAGCTAGTAGCCCAGACTGGTCTGGAACTCAGTGTACTCCTACCTCAGCTTCCCAATTGCTGAGATTACAGCCCTCCACACCTGTTTTATTTATTTATTTATTTTTACTTATTTTTGAGATAAGGCCATGCTGTTTTCTCCAGGCTGGCCTCAGATTCCCACTTCATCCTCCTCACTAGTTGGAACTACAAACATATATCACTACTCTGAACTTTGACGGCCTTTTTGGGAAAATTTTTTTTTTTTTTTGGAAACAGGGTGTCCTCTAACCCAGGGTTTCCTCAAACTTGCCATGTAGGCAAGGATGGCCTTGAACTTCTGATTCTTCCAGCTTAACCTCCAAAGTGCTGGAATTCCAGAACTGTATTACCAGGCAGAGTTTGTACAGTGTTGAGATGAACTGAGGGCTTCATGCATGCTGGATGGACATTCTGCAAACTGATCCACATCCCCAGCCCTTTAGTAACTTCTAAAAGATATATTACATATGCATGTATGTGTGCTTGGGTTCGTTTATGTGCACCAGGTGCATACGTGTGCCCACTGGGGGCAGATCCCCTGGAAGTGGAGTTAGAGGTGGTTGTAAGCCACCTGATGTGGGTGCTGGAGATGGAACCCCCGTCCTCTGCAAGAGCCGCACATGCTCCTAGCTGCTGAGCCATCTCTCCCGCTGCTGCTGCTGACCCTTTTACACTGGGATAGAGCGAGCACTCCTGCTCAGTGCACCACCACTGTGACATGGGAGCCCACTGTGCTCTAATTAATCCCTCATCTTAAAAGTGGCAGAAGTTGGAGATTTCATATTTATGATGGTGTCTGCCTACAGCTCCTTCATGTTAGCACTCTCACTAAGTGAACAGCAGACAGTGTGAAAACAGACTGAGATTCTTTCTCTTTTTCCCTCTTCTCCCTACAGCACAACTATCTTGCTCAGGTCACATCCAATATCTGGGGAACCAAATTTAAGATTGTGGGCTTGGCTGCATTCCTGCCAACCAACCTCGGTGCAGGTACCTCATTCCATTTTCTTATTGTCCCATTTGGAAATCAGAATAAAAGATACAGTTTCAACCTGTGACAGCTTAAAGTAGAAAATGAGCTCTTAAGACAGTATAGGATTGGTATGTCTGTCACCCTGATTACAGCCACTATGTTGTCAGAAAAACAGACCTGTATTTACTGGGTATTGTCCCTGGCACTTTCATTTTTTTCCCCCTGAGAAGCTCTGTGTTATGAAACTAGTAAATGTAACCAGAATCTCTAGGAGAGCACTGGAGGAGTTCTAGACATTTGGCCATTGTGAGCAGATTCAGGTCCAGTGTCCAGTTCTTGAATCACAAGGAACTTGTAAAGAGAAGAAAACATGGCATTAAAGACCAAGGAATTAGTTGGCTGTTAAGAATGTGGTTCTTAGCAGTATATGTTTATCAGTCTTGTTTTTCCCATCTGATAAACATCCTGTCCATGATAGGTTTGATACACAGATTTAAGTCTAAGGTATGTTTTTGGAATTTACAAGTTGTGGTTCTGTAGACAAAGAATTTTCTGACCTCACATGGCTCAGTATACATCAGCAGAAGCTAAGCACTCCACTCAAGCTCCTGGTCCAGCCTAGGCAGATCTGCCTGGAAATGAAGGGATCCACAGACCTCCCTTTCTCTCCATCACACTGCTGACTCTCTGGCTTTCCGATGGCATGCCTCCATTAACTGTGCTCCTTTTTCCCACCAGTCATCTATAAAACCAGCCTGCTGCATCTCCAGCCACGGCAGATGACCATTTATCTCCCAGAAGTCAGGAAGATTTCCATGGACTACATTAACCTACCTGTCTTCAACCCAAATGTTTTCAGTGAAGATGAAGATGACTTACCAGGTGTGTCATGTACGTGGACTTGTCTGTCACAGTACCTTGCTTTGTGTATCATGCAAGGGGGATAGAGTGGTCAGTCTTTGAGTCTGGTTGCTGGTGCAGTTTAAAAAGACCCATCTCACTCAGTAAGCTTAGGAGATATGGTATGTCTGGAGGAAAACAACAGTATGTGCTTTTCGGCAGGTGGGAAACTACCAGAGCATGGACACAGAGCACTTCTCACATCATGTGTCATCATTCTTCTTTGCTTTCTATTGCGTATATAAACGCCACGACCAAAAGCAGCTTAGGGAGGAAAAGGTTTATCTCACCTCACAGCTCACAGTCTTTGTTGAAGGAAAGTCAGGCAGGAACTCAAAGCAGGAACCTGGAGACAGGAAGAGCTGTGTAAAGTCAGAACTAAACTTTGTCTCAGTGTCTCGCCTAGCCACCAGCCTTCTTATCCCTGCTTAGAGAGCGCCTCTCTAGAGACCTGTAGTGCTCACAGATCCCAATTCCTCAAGCCTCCCCTGTCTCCAGGACTCAGAGCCTTTGCATTTGAACACCTCTTCCACCAGCCAAAGCAAGCCTCCTCATAGAGGCCTGGCTTGAGTTAGAGATGCTATATAGCACACAGTTTTTAAATTTTACAAACTGTGGGCTTTTAGATTTGTTTACTGGAGTGGGGTATTCTTAAAGGTTTAGAATGTTTTCCACTGGCTGCCAGGGAGTTGTGTCTAACTATTCTCAGTTACTCAAGGGCACTTGAGAAACATTCCCTTTTTAAAGTACAGGCCCACTTGGAATTTTGTAGAAATGACTCTACCTCCAGCACCAATACCTACCCTTTGATGAATGAACTTTGGGTACTTAAGCTTGACACATGCTCTGCTATTTCAGAGTCTCCAGTTTAGATACAGCTTATAATTTCCCTTTGACAACCTCTGTTCTCCCAAGTGCAGTAAACAGCTTTCTCTGCGTTCAGTTGCTGCAGTGACTACCGTTGCTGTGTGTAGTCCTCAGTTAAGAGGATGTCTCAGGGCTCACAGACAGTGATTATAACTCCACAGAGACTCTCCACTGGAGAGGGGCATACCTAGGGCCATTGCTCCCTGGACACCAAAGAATATTTCAAAGAGAGATCATCAAAGGAATGACAGGAAGTTTCAGGTGGGGCCCAGATCCCTGCAGTCAGAGGATGAGCTATCTCAGTGGAGGCCCCAGGGAAGATGCAGTTACAGACCCCAAGGCCAGGCTTAACTTTTGATATCGGAGTGGCTTCATTCTGCTGTTGGGTGCAAAGTCAGACAACCTCTACAATGAGCCTGTTAGGTCCTGTTTGCTGCTCAATTATTTGTTGCTGTGCAGCATTAACACCAGGTTCCAGGCTCTGAGCCTGTGACATTGTGCCCTGAGGAGGAGACACAGCCACTCAGTCAGTGGAGCAAAGTTGGAGTCAGCCCCACTGCCACCAACACGGGTACAGACTGTGGCTCTGAGCACCTGCCCACAGTCAATCATGGTTTGTGAAGTGACTACTGGATAGTAAATGGAATATCCACATGCTTTTATTTGGTTGGCTATACCTTAAATGCTATTTGAAATGCTAAAATCAAGTGAATACGAAAAGGCCATTCTACTAATACACATATTTCTAGGGGAGTCATTGGTTTTTCCACTTTATTTTACATAGGCATTTTGTGAGTATAACCATTAAAGAGTTTTTTAAACATTTGTGTATGATGGTGTTATTTAGGCACATGGTACCAAATTCAGAAGGTTCAAACATGTTCATTGAGATGTTCTGACAATGCCTCAGCCCATGTTCAGCAGGTAGGCTGTGCTGCAGACTCCTTAGTTGGCTATGTGTTCTTGTAGAGATGTTAGGGAAGCTTGGTGAATAGCCTCATTGTCTACAAGCAAGAGCATCTCAGTCTTAATTAATAGTTTGATTTTGTTTGCAAAAGATCAGATAAGTCTAAGCACATTGTTTATTCTGTCCCAATTCCACAGCACTGTTTTGCAACCAATTCTTTTTTCTGATTTTCTTCCAGTTACTGGAGCATCCGGTGTTCCTGAAAACAACCCACCTTGTACCGTGAATATCCCTATTGCACCAATCCACAGCTCAGCTCAAGCTCTGTCGCCCACACAGAGCATAGGGTTGGTGCAGTCCCTGCTGGCCAATCAAAATGTGCAGCTGGATGTCTTGACCAATCAGACAACAGCTGCAGGGACAGTAGAGCATGCAGGTGACGCTGCCCCCCAGTACCCGGTTTCCAGTCGGTACTCCAGTCCTGGACAGGTGATTTTTGGAGGTGTAGAAATGGGCCGCATCATTCAGAACCCTCCTCAATTGCCTTTGCCTCCGCCGCCGCCTCTGCCGCCACCGCAGGGGCCTCTGGCCCCCACCTTCCAGACCCCCCCTCCCTTGCCTTGCCCCCCGCCCCCGCCTCTGCCGCCACCGCAGGGGCCTCTGCCTCTGTCTGTGGTAGACCATGGAGATCGAGACCATGAGCACCTACAAAAGTCGGCCAAGGCCCTTCGGCCAGTGCCTCAGCTGGCAGCCGAGGGGGATGCTGTGGTTTTCAGTGCCCCCCAGGAGGTCCAGGTGGCAAAGATGAATCCCCCACCCCCTTACCCGGGAACTATCCCTGCTGCCCCCACCACAGCAGCACCCCCACCCCCTCTGCCACCACCACAGCCTCCCGTGGATGTGTGTCTGAAGAAGGGTGACTTCTCCCTCTGCCCTCCGGCCACACATTACCAACCTCCCCTAGGCTATGAGAGGATTACCACCTTTGACAGCAGTGGCAATGTGGAAGAGGTGTGCCTGCCTCCCACTCGGATGCTCTGTTCTCAGAACACCTACACTCTTCCTGGCCCAGGCAGTTCTGCCACCCTGAGACTCACAGCTACTGAGAAGAAGGTCCTCCAACCTTGCACCAGTGCCACTCTGAACCGCCTGACTGTCCCTCGATACTCCATCCCCACAGGGGATCCACCTCCATACCCCGAAATTGCTAGTCAGCTGGCCCAGGGGCGGAGTGCTACTCAAAGACTGGACAACAGTCTCATCCATGCCACCCTACGAAGGAACAACCGTGAGGTTGCCCTTAAGATGGCCCAGCTGGCTGACAGCTCCCGTGCCCCACTGCAGCCCCTGGCCAAGCCTAAGGGTGGCCCCAGTGGGGCAGTAGCACAGCTCCCAGCAAGGCCTCCACCTGCCCTGTATACTTGCAGCCAGTGCAGTGGAGCCGGGTCCAGCTCACAGCCAGGTGCAACCCTGGCTCATGCTATCAGCACCTCCCCACTGGCCTCCCAGTCCTCCTACAACCTTCTGAGCCCTCCAGACACCTCCCGTGATCGTACTGACTATGTCAATTCAGCCTTCACAGAGGATGAGGCCCTGTCTCAGCACTGTCAGCTGGAGAAGCCTCTGAGGCATCCCCCACTTCCTGAAGCTACTGTCACAGTGAAGCGGCCTCCCCCTTACCAGTGGGACCCTGTGCTGGGTGAGGACATTTGGGTTCCTCAGGAAAGGACAGCACAGCCTGCAGTGCCCAACCCCTTAAAACTGTCCCCTCTGATGCTAGGGCAAGGCCAGCACCTGGATGTAGCTCGACTGCCCTTTGTGTCTCCCAAGTCTCCGTCCAGCCCCACTGCCACCTTCCAGACAGGCTATGGCATAGGAGTGCCATATCCGGGCAGCTATAACAACCCCTCTTTGCCTGGAGTGCAAGCTCCATGTACCCCTAAAGATGTCCTGTCCCCAGCACAGTTTGCACAACAGGAGCCTGCTGTCGTACTTCAGCCAGCATACCCATCCAGTCTTTCCTATTGCACCTTGCCCCCCACATACCCAGGAAGCAGCACATGCTCCAGTTTACAGCTGCCACCTATCGCCTTGCACCCTTGGAGTTCCTACAGCACCTGCCCACCTGTGCAAAATCCCCAGGGCACGCTCCCCTCCAAACCCCACTTAGTGGTGGAGAAACCTCTTGTGTCCCCACCACCTGCCGAGCTCCAAAGCCACATGGGCACAGAGGTGATGGTAGAGACTGCAGACAATTTCCAAGAAGTCCTCTCTCTGACAGAAAGCCCTGTTCCCCAAAGAACAGAAAAATTTGGGAAGAAGAACCGGAAGCGCCTGGATAGCCGAGCAGAGGAGGGAAGTGTTCAGGCTATCACTGAGGGCAAAGTGAAGAAGGACGCGAGGACTCTGAGTGACTTTAACTCTCTCATCTCCAGCCCCCGCCTGGGGAGAGAGAAGAAGAAAGTGAAAAGTCAGAAGGATCAGCTGAAATCCAAGAAGTTGAACAAGACAAACGAATTCCAGGACAGCTCAGAGAGTGAGCCCGAACTGTTCATCAGCGGGGATGAGCTGATGAACCAAAGCCAGGGCAGCAAGAAGGGGTGGAAGAGCAAGAGGAGCCTGCGGATGGCCAGTGAGCTGGAGGAGTTCAAGTGCCGCAAAGCTAGTGAGAAGGAGGATGGGCGGCTGGGCAGCCAGGGCTTCGTGTATGTGATGGCCAACAAACAGCCTCTGTGGAACGAAGCCACACAGGTGTACCAGCTGGACTTCGGAGGAAGGGTGACACAGGAATCTGCCAAGAACTTTCAGATCGAGCTGGAGGGACGGCAGGTAAGGAGCAAATGGGCTGGTGCTGTGGATGGACTGGAGGAGCAAGCCTGTAAAATGCCAGGCAGGAGGCACGGAACATCTCCCATCTCTTGGGTGGAGCTAGTTGGTTTGGGTTCTCATTCTCTCAAGAGTGCCTTCTGGTGCCTTCTCATGTACTTTAAGTCAAGTGATGCACACACCATTAGTCACCATGGTGATTCCATGAGATTAGAAACAAAGACCATGGGGCCCTACCCATCTCCTCACCTGCTCTTCATTCAGTTGCAGGTGTCTCCTAGAGTTTGGAATTTTCTGGTATCTGTCTTGTGTTTGCATAGAACATAAATTTTTATTTATTGATATTTGTATTTTTGCCATCATATATTGCCTTCCTCCTGTGTAACTCTTTAGTGGATTGTGCTCCCTGCTTCCCTCAGGAGCTGGCAAACCTGGTTACCTCTTGCCTGCTTTTTTATTTTGTGGCTTTGCTTCCCCAAGACAATGAAGTTTGGATAGATAGATATAGTATATATAGTACTCCTTCCTTCTCAGCTGTTCATCGCCAGCAGTGGAGGAATGTTATTTTCTCCCCCTCATATGTACACACGAGAACTGGCCCCACTTTCCCAGGTTAAGGTAGGCATTGGTGACTGCATCATGTCATGTGATTCATGGCTGAGCCTTGGGTGAGTCTTTAATTTCCTAGTTATTGTTTGCTTATTTCTCTGTTTATGGCTAATTCACCCTCCAGCTTTCCAATAGAAGGCCAGTCTCCTCTTGGTACAGATCAGGACCATAGAAGACAAACCATGTTTCTTACAGCACAATGGCCTCTGTAACCCTGCCGCCTCACTTTACCTCTTGACTATCCTGAGAAGTCCATCCATTTTAAAATTTCATTTTTACTTGATTAACTCATCAAATATTTTTACTGCCTGTTTGTGTGCCTAAGCCAAAAATTGGCATACTGACCCGTGGGTTCATCTAGTCCTTTTCCTCTGTTTATAAATAAAGTTTTGTTGAAACATGGTTCTTTCTACTCAAGTCTACAACTGCTTTTATCTAACATAAGCAAAGTTGGATGGTTCTACAAAGTATTAATTACAGGCCTAAAATGTTTATCAACATTTTACAGAAAGCTTGCCAGCCCTTTTATTCTAAGTGGGCTTGAGAGTATTGAGAGACATGGAGGTAATTGTTCTCATATGTCTTTCAAAAGAGGGAGAAAGACCACAAAGAAGTGAGTGTGGACCCTGTGCTATGGTGCTGTGATCTCATGTTCTGAGGCCATAGGAAGCACCAAAGGTACAAGTTGAGCAGGACAAAGAGGAACATGATGGAAAGGAGGTTGTGATATTCTAGAAAGTTGACAGGGAAGCCTGCTCTGAGGCAGAGACCTTGGACACAGTTGGCACATCTCTGGTCTCTCTCAGAAGGTGGAGTCGTCTTTCGTCTTCCCTGGGGAGCCCACTATATTGCACCTATAGCTCTCGTGTGAGCCCCTTGTCTTCCCTTGCATTATCATCACCCATGACCCTCTGTCCTCCCTGCTATACACCTGTAGTTAGATCCAGGAGCCCCGTTCAGACTCAGTTGTTTGGGTTTCTAGACCTCCACTGGACAATACCCTCTGCTTCTCTTGGAGTTGACACATCTGGCTGTTTGCTCACTTTCTCTTCCATTCATGTGTTTGCTTTCTGCACATCTTCCCTAGGTGATGCAGTTTGGACGCATTGATGGCAATGCATACATCCTAGACTTCCAGTACCCCTTCTCAGCTGTGCAGGCTTTCGCTGTGGCCCTGGCCAATGTGACTCAGCGCCTAAAGTGAAGACAGATGCGGGGGGAGACATGCCAGGAGCCTTTAGAGGGAGACGTGCTGCTACTACCCAGGAGGACCAGAAACACCGGCAGTGGAAGAAGCCAGCAGGCCAGAAGGGTGCTGATCCTTAGGCATGGTCAATTGTTGAGTTACCCTTTATCGTCCCTCCTTTCTTCTTTTGATAGAGTGGTATTTGGAAGTCAAGAATTTGAGGTATCTTGTGTTCTTGAAGATAGTGTAGCTTGGCTATAGAATGTTGTACTGATTTACTTTTCAGTGACTAGGACAAGGGCCTTTGGAAAGAAGACAGATCACTTCAAGCCTGCTCTTCTTCTAGATGTAGGGAGTGTGTGTTAGGGTTCATTCTTCATGTTATATGGGCTCTGTTAACCTTCCAACATTATCGCTAGTACAAAAAAATTTTTTTGCAACACAACCAAAACTCTGGAAGATTCAGCTTGTCTTGTGGGGGAAGGACAGTGCTTAATTCACATGTATGTGCTGCTCACTAGAAGGTACCTATATGAATGAAGGACATGTATGCAAATGCCTTGTGTTGTGCTGATGTATGCCAAGGTAAATGGGTGCTGTCACCAGTGTGAATGTGATTCAGCAGGCAGTGGGTTAGGGGAAAGACTGCCCATGGAGACAGCCTCACAGCACTCTGCAGACACTCGGGTGAGTTGGTGGTGTGGCTTGTGTGAGGGCTGTTCTCTCTCAAGGGTACACTAGTTCTTTGTGTCAGAATCCCATCTGACTTTGGGAGAAGGCAAGGGACATCAGTGGGTAGATCCAGGCTGGGGCAGAGCTGGGTTTATGTCACAGTCTAATGACTGGTCAATCACCAGATACCTCCACTTGTCTACTCCTTTGCTTGTTTTAGTGTGAAACATTTTGCTGTAAACATCTTTCTCTTTAGATCTCCTTGCTCTGTCTTTTCTAAAGTGTGAATGGGACTTGATTTGAAACTATACTGTTCCTTCCCTTGGCCATATTAAAGTTGATTTTTAATGCTTCCCTCAATTATAAGTGTAATATTTGTGCATTTCCCAGGGTATTAAAAGATAGGGATGTGGTCAGATCTTGGGGAAAGCTCCACAGTGTTCTGTAAGGGAAAAAAAGAACTGTCTTTAGGTGTATAGCCTGTGCTAAAAGACGAACCACTGGAGAACCCTTGTTAAAACTGTCATACTTAGGTAATTGGCTCTTTATACTTCACTCTTACTATAGACTCTGCCCGGTTTCTTCTCCTTGTGGGAACACACCTTGGGCAAGTATCCAGACCTGATAGTAAGAACCAGTCCAACTACTAAGTTGTAGTTCTTACCTGTGATGTTGTTCATTACCAGAGCACAAGAACTGTCTGCTGGCTTTGACTCCTAAGTTGGGGTTTTATTTGAAAACTGACAAGTGGAAGATGCTAGAGGAAAATTATTTTCAACTTAAACATTGTTTTGTGTTTTTGTTTTTTCTTGTGTTTGGTTTAAGAATTAGAAAAGAAACTGACTGATTTCTTTATCTAGGCAAAATTAAGCACTCATCATTCTTTCCAAATTCCAAAGAAATACTGACAAGGACATTTCCCAGCTGATACTGGAGTTTTCCGTTTTATAATTTAAAGTTTGGGAGCTGATTCTTAGGTGAGTCAGTTGTCCCAGAAAGAGTTGAATAGTATGTTGGGAGTTATTGTGTTGGTTTACGTAAATTTCTTTAGCTTGATAAGGTGTTTCAGTGCTTATCATTAGTTGTGCAATACCATTGTAGCCTTTCAGTTTATGGAATAATTTAAATGCAATTTCCTTTGTTTTGTTGTCTAAGATAGTTATTTATCTTGCTCTTTATAGTATTCTTGGGAACTATTTTGTTACTATATGTTGGTGATTTATGCCCATTTTATTATTTATTTAGAAAAATAGTACCTTTGTAATGACTTACTTGGTGGCAATATATTTTGCTGCAAAAAATAAAGAGAATATGACAGAAGATTTTTTTGCTGGATAATTTGTAACTTTCTTGAGAATTGGGAGAAAATCCTTTAATTAGTCCCTTAAAAAAATAAATTCACTCTTTATCTCAGTACTGATTATATTATGGAAAACTGCCTGTTTCTCTGAGCTAGCATACCCTGAGGTAGTATTTCTCCTTATTTTGAAAACTTTAGTTAAAAGTAAGAAGCGAGAGACCCCTTAGATAAGAGTAGCAAAAGAGGGACCTTAATAATTCTCACTTTTTTTTTTTTTTTGGCTCAAACTGGATTTTTGCAAAACCTGCAGAAGCCATACTTTATGACTTTGCTAAATAAGATCAAATATGAAGGAAGTCATCCCTAAACTATACTTTCCATCCATGGAGATATAGGCTTCCTGTGTTGAGTGAGGATTGGCCTGTAAGCTGCAGTGTGGAGCCAGGCATGCCTGCCACCCCACTCTACTCCTCTCCCAGGCTAAGGAGTGAGTCTTGGATGCCAAGTGTGCCCTAAGCTGCTGGCTGCAGCAATTGTGACACAGTGTCACTTAAGATAATGCCTTCATCCAGTCAACATCATTTGATTAGATTCTCCTTAAGTTAAGACTCTAAGTAACAGAATTGTAGGTACTTCATGGTTATTAATAGCAATTGTTAATGTCACAGTGTCTCATTAGATCCCTAAATTTAAAAAGTCATCTACATAGAGATTTGTACAAAAACAGTATATTAATAAACAAAAACCAGCCTTAGGTTTTGTTTGGCTCTAAACTCATCAAAACAGAGGTCATGGATATTAGTACAATTACCAATTTGAATCTGTATTCTGAGAAAAACTGGACCAATGAATCTATAAATACTCAGAGCTCTAATGGTCATAGGAAACAAAAGCTTTTGCATGCTGGTATTTTTCATCCATAGCCCTGCTCCCTTGTGTAGTGTCCATTCTGTAATCAAAGGGCAGGGGCAGGGGGCAAGGTCAAATTGCTCTGTCACAGGGGTGGAGAGTGACTTTGGACAAATCCCTAGGGGTGTATGGCCTCCTTTTGTCCATCTCTTAATGATTGGACATTTGTTTACACAAACTTGAAAACTCCATTCTAGCTTCAGTAGCCTAATTCAGCAACTCATCTTCCCCTTCGTGAGGTGAAAGTGTGTTTCAAAACATAGTCTTTTTGTAGGAAAAAAAAAAAAGCTTGTTTTTTTTTTTCCTGAGTTGGAGCTGTCTACTTGAACAAAAACTGGCACCCCTAAAATGTGTTTAGTCTACTAAAATTACAGAAGCACCAAATCCAAGTACAGTATAAGTCCCTATGGGTGTGCTTTCCTCAGTGGGCTGAGAAGGGAGTATGGTCACAGCCTGCCTCCCTTAGAGCACTCATGTACAAGAGTGCTGCATTTTCTCCTAATTCAAAAGACTTTCTGAGAAAGGGACCTGTGGGAAGGGAACCTGTGCTGTCCCCGTGTGGGTTGTGAATGTGGTGACAACATTAGCTGGGTTGCAACTGTCATTTGATTTCCTGGGACCTTATGGTAGTATACAGTTCAGAACTCTACACCACTGTGTATGTATCTCCTTATCTCTGGCTGATAAACTCTGGGGGATTGTGGCTTATATTGTTTCCATTTTTTTTTTCCTGGCTTTGTGCAGTTTTCTTGTGACTTTAAATGAGTCTGTATTTTCTGTTTACAAGTTAATTTTAAGGGGAAGGGTTGGGCTTTAAGATCTTGTTTATTGTAGATATTTTTTTTCTCGTGTTGTAGAAAAGCATGGGTTAATACATTTGAGTGAAAAAAGGCACTGTATTATTTACCAAAGGTGTATTGTTTCCATTTGTTTATAAATTTTAGTACTGTAAATTTGGCATAATTTCCAAGTTCACTACTATTGCTACTGCTGGCATCCATCTTTCTCCTTCTCTCACCTTTTATTCCCATAAATGTGCATTGTGGGGTGCATAGGTCACAGACCAAATGAGACCACCAGCATGTTCTTGTCCATACTTCAGGAACGGCGTACACTGTTGTGTACACATCAGCCCCCATCCCTACCCTGTTGGTTTTTATTTTTATTTTGTTTTTAATTCAGCATCTTGCTTTGTTTAACTTTCCAGACAAGATCTGTTGAGAGTCACCATTGCTTCTCAATGAGCTCTCCCTTATTTGCCTATCTCTATATGTACTTTGTATTCTTGACTGTGCAGGAAGTTTCTAGAAGGGATTAATGGTTTGCATTCAAAATGATGTAGTTTGTCCAAATTACTTTGCCTTTATTATTGAGATGGGTTACCCTCTTTTTTTTTCTTGATGATTTGAAATTGTAATTTGTCCAGCTGTTGCTTAATAAAATTTTGCAGATCAAAAAAAATTACATGTGTGCCAAGGTTGAATTATGGGTCTTGGGTCATTTGAGAAAAAATTACCTCCTTCCATTGGTATGACCTGCTGACACCAACACCCCGCCCCTTGCTTCAAGGGTCCCCTGGGAAATGCCAGCATGACTGGAAACACTGAAATGTCCCTGTCAGTCCATTCCACTGCTGAGTTTGAGGGGTCAGATTGTGTTGTCTACTAGGTGAATTGTTTTGACTTTTTATTTTTTTCTTCCTTTTGAAAACATTCCAATTAAGAATGCATGTATAATCTTGGATGACACTGAGTTTACCAGATGGTGTAATCTGATTTGTACTGCTTATTAATTTTTTCTAATAAATGTTTAGTTATATCATGGTGGGGGGAGATGAATGCATCTGTATAATACCTAAAAGATCAGAGGTGCCAAATAAGTTGACATCTTAGTTACTTTGTGGGAAACACAGTTTTAAGCCATTTTGCTAAAACACACCAGTTTAACTGTTGACTGGTACTACTGAGTGCTTACAAGCCTCCTTTTCCTTTAGCTCTGGGATGTGGGGACTGGAGCATTGGGGGCATATGTACAAGCACTTCACAGTGTCTTCAGAACAACTGTTGCACTCACCGAAGCTTAAGGAGCAGAAGAACACAAACTTGCACTAACTCTAGCACAACATAATCATGAATTGTTGTAAAATAATTACGGGATTGTAAATCTATGCTTTATAGAACCAAAATATGACCAGCTGCCTTATACAGAATCAAATCTATCTCATTTTGTTATGAGTGTTCATGACCATTGGGGAGTATCATGATGTCTTCACTTAAACCAAGTACCCAGAACTAACCCACATCTGTTCTGTCTCTTCCCACCCACCAACATTCCCAACACCTAGTTCCTACCTAGGCCTGCTGGAAGGGGCCTTGTCCAGGATTTCTACTACCACCAAGCTGCTTGTCATCTTTGGGACAAGTCAGTCAAGTCAGGTTTTCCCAGAGTGATTTATTATTTTTAAAGATTTATTTATTTTACTTTATATGTAAGAGTATTTTGCCTGCATGTGTGTATGTACACCATGTGGGTGCCTACTGACTGTAGAGGTCAGAAGCATTTGTTTGAGTCCCTGGAACTGCAGGTTATGGACAGCTGTAACCCACCATGTGAGTGCTGGGGAATCAAACCTGTTTCCTCTGCAAGAGAAAAGGTGCTCTCAACCACTGAGCCTACTCTCTAGGCTGCGTGATTGATTTTAACATCCTGGAAAGAAAACTTAGAAAAATCCCCATCTATAAATTCAGTTTAGAAAGGTTGTGTTCTGTTGATTAGTTTCTGCCTCCCAGCCCCAAAAACTCAGGGTGAGGAGGAATGCCTGCCTGGAGGATGCAGAGACACTGATCAGAGCACAGTGCCCTGACTCCACTGTAAAGAAGACGCTGTTCACCTCCCTCATTTGTAAGGACAAAATTGGAACGTTGAAGAGATTGAGATGATCGCTGGACTCCATAGACAAAAGCCAGTCCCGAAACGGAATCCAGGGTTTCCCGGTCACATTAGTGAGAAGACCTCAATTATTCCTGCATTCTCACTCTCTTCTCTGTTTTGTTTGAGACGAAGTCTCCATATATCCCCGGCTGTCCTAGAACTTGCTGTTTAGACTAGGCTGGTCTCACTCATAAAGATCCACTTGACTCTGCCTCCCAAGTGCTGGGATTAAAGGCCTGTGCCATGCCAGGCTCCCAGCCAGCTTCCCACTCTTGTTTAATAATAACCTATTTGTAATCAGTCACCTAGGAGGAAAAGTGGATGGGCCATCCTTGCCCTTCCCTAATGAACTTATCCATTGCAGATGTGTTCTCATGTTGGTACTTTGAAATTTGAACTTTCGAAGTCTGAAAGCTTGTGTCACAGGCTGTATCGTGCAGCCAGGCATCACAAGGGCACAGACTGATGTACATTTGTTCCTCTGCAGTTCTTAGAAACATCTGTGCCATCTGCTGAAAATCCAAAGCTATTCGTATGCCAGGCGACCTCACTCCTGGTGTCATTTTAGGTTTCTGCCATATGGATGGCTTCAAGTGAAGAAGGTAGCTCCACTCTGGAGCAAAAGCCAGCAAGAGCCCAGTGTCAGGTGCAGACTGTGCACCTTTCCTTCTGTTGTCTTCCCTGGGTTCCCTTCCCTCTGCTGTCTCCACAGAGAAGTGTGCTGCACTATGGAGGTTCTGAAAACCAGCACCCAGTTCTCTTGAGTGAAGCTGGAGACAGGTAAGAAAGCTCCTGGGAAATTACAGAACCATAAACATGAAGTGACTGTTGGTATTAGTGAGAAACAAATCTGGAGGATCTACTCAACTCCAGCTTGTTTCTCTTGGTCATGCACAGTTTGAACCTCCTCCCAGCTTAGCACTTTAGAAACTCTGGAAGCCCATTTGCCTCCTTTCAGCCCATGTTCCTCTCTGCAGGTACCTAGCGCTCTTGCAGTCATCCATCAAACACACTGCTGTGACTCCCTTGCTCCACTCCACAACACCCCTGAAAGATGGAGGAAGCTCCATAGAGAATGGGCTGGACGCAGAGCAGTTGCCTTCCCTCGGCAGGGCTAGCCAGACCTACCTCCTGGGCTCTGGTGGTAGAGAGGGCCTGGGGTCATACTGATGGGAACCGATGCTGGCATAGCTTTGTCAGCTCTTCCTTGGACTCCTGAAGGTCTTACATGATTCCTCCTTTGACATGAAACATCCCAAAATGTCGCCTCAAGGATCTGGTGTTGAACCGACCAAGGTCTTGCACAGTTTCTCTTCACAGGTCACGAAAAGCTGAACCTGCCCCGTGTTTGGGTTGGCTTTTGTTTTGCTTTGACTTGTCTGTTTTTCTCTCCTCCAAGTGAAAATGCCAGCAGCCCAAACACCAGAATACAACTCAGGTGATGCTCCTGTTCTCAAGGAATGTACTTCTTTCTGTGTGCCATCGGGATCCTGACTTCTGCTTCCTGCCTTTCTTAAGTCCCTGCTGCTGACCAGAGGAGGCTAGGGGTATGGCTTCTTACCAATGGTAGATGTTTCGGCTCCTTTGTTGTAAAAGTGTGTAAAACCACTGCTCTGGTCCTCACTCATCCATCAGGAGAACCAGTCCCTGCTTGGGCCTCTTCTCCAGCAGTTATGGAAAAAGTCTCGGCAAGCCCAAGTGGTGTCTTCGATGACCACAGATCTCACCATGTAGGCTGAGAAGGGAAGGTTGCAGGTCATAGTTTGTAGAACTGATAGACTCTGATCCTTCTCAAGCCCCTAGGAGTTAGCCTTAGCTTCTTCCTGTCCATCAGTTTCCAAATGCTACACCTAGAGATGGGAGTCTCCCTTGCTTACAGTGCTTCCTCTCCTGCGATGAGCTTATAAGCATTCATTTTGCTTTTACCCACCACACGTCCTAGCAGGTGCTAAGCTGCAAAGCTAACTTTAGCTCCATTGAAGCTGGCAGGAGAGTGGGTGCTGAAGGGGACTCCCACACGGTGGGGGCTACCTCCCAGACCCTGGATTAAGCACAAACCACACCCAAATACCTGTTTCTACAAAGAGATCCCTTATTAAAGGGGGAAGAAAAACAGAAACAGCAGCAGGTGTCCTTCTGAAGACAAAAAAGGGAAGTCTGGGTTAGAATGGGATAGGACATGGTGATAAAGAAGATGGAGGATGAGGGAGAAGGGAAGGGACAAGGGACAGGCGGCAGGGATATTTGTCCCAGAAAGACAAAGGACTATCTCTGGATGGAGAGGAGACAGATGTGGCACATAGGCAGATGACGGTTTATAAAGGTAAAAGGGAAACCCCATGATAGGATGCGGTTTTAATTTTAAGTGGGCA